GACGCCGGTCTCTGTCAACGCCTACGCAGAGCTGGTGTTTGAGGACGAGGAGTTTCAATCGCGTGAGGATGCAGAGTACCGGCAGAAGGTCGGCTCGTTGCAGTTCGCGGCCACCACGACGAGGCCCGACATTGCCTTCGCTTGCAGCAAGCTCGGATCCGGCTTGACAGTGCGATGCGACAACCACTGGCGTGAGGTCGATCGCTGTCTACACTACCTCGCTATAAACTCGTGACGCCGCTCTGGAGTTCGGCGGCGGACCAGGGTCGCTGTGTCTGGTCGGCTATGCAGATGCCGACAACGCTGGCGACAAGCAGAATCGGACGAGCACGGGCGGCTACGTTTTCGTCTTCGGAGGAGCCGCAGTCTCCTGGCAAACCAGCGCATCAAGTGCGCGATGCTCTCGTCGACCGAATTAGAGTACGTCGCGGCGACCGAGAGCCGGTAAGGAGGCTCGCCGTCTGCGCTTCCTCCTTGCAGAGTTCCATCTGCTCGACCCAAGGAAGCCAACTGTTTTGCACGTGGACAACCAGTCGGCGATCACTGTCGCAGAGGGCTTGGGGCTCAAGGGCAACCTTAAGCACATGGAAAGACGTTACGCTGGCTGCAGCAACTGGTGAAGCGCGGGAAGATTGCTCTGCAGTACATCCCGACCTCCGAGCAGCCAGCAGATTTTCTGACGAAGGCGCTGCATTTTCCGCTTTCAACCGGTGCTCCGTCGCAATTGGCCAGTGCGTCTGGCTGACGTGGGCGACGGGGATGACGAGGTGCAGCAGTAGGTGCCGTGCCCTTCTGCACGGCTGGTGCGGTGATCTACGTGCTATGTGTTCAGTGCACGTAGAAGGAATTTTCTCCTTGTATTCTATCCCTCTGGGTTCAAGGTGGACCTTGTGTGTGGGTGCCCAAGCGTGAGCTGGGCAGGGGAGTGTCGAAAAGAATAGGCCCCGCCCTCGCTTGGGCGAAGTTCGACCAGGTCGTTTCGGAACAAGACGGTGTTCGTTTTGAGGTCATCGGCGACTTCGGGAGACTTTTATCTGTATGTGACGAGCCGTTTGTCGACGAGATTAATTGGTCGAGGTATAAGTGTTTCTTCTCGATCAAAGTCCCCGTCTAGGAGGAGCTCGTCGATGGGAGTAAAACAGCGTCCAAGACGAGCCTTTCTGATAGACGGAATTGGCAGAATTGGTGTCTCGATGGACTGCTGGTCGACAGAATTTAGTTCGACAAGTGTTTCGTCATGCAGAGCAATTCTGGTCGACCATAATTACTTAGCTCCGAAATTTGCAATGTGCGCGAATTTTGCCCAATCACGGAACAGCAAATTTCGACCAATCAGGTAATTTCGGAAATTGTAGTCCCCAGGAGAATTCGATTCACTAAGGAAACTAAACCCTAAACACGCTCTTACTAACAGTAAAAACATGCACAACTATGAACGTTGTAAACCTGAGCAACTACCAACTCAGGTGAAATATGCATGTGCTTGTTGTTTCACCTGCCGTTGCTGACTGACGACAGGTTCAGGTGCTTGTCGAGGAATGTTTCTATGGGGTTCATTGTCTTTGCTATTTGGTTCTCTTTGCTTTTACCATATTCTTGTTCTATGAACTTTTGCTAGTGGAACTATGCTTGAATTCTACCAAGGCAACCAAGTTCACTTCTGAAAAACACTGCCAGAACTTTGACTGTGTGTCCCACGCTAGTCAAGCTCTCCCATAGAATAGTATTCTCCGCAAGAGGTAGAGCGCAGATAGCGCAAGACGCCGCTTAGCAGCCACTCAGTGCACGTCAGTGTGGCGGCCTAGACCAACAAAGCGAGGGAGAACACTGAGGGGGTAGGCAAGGTCGGGGCGAGTGCACATCATAGCATACATGAGAGACCCAACGAGCTCAAGATAAGGCCGCAGCTCAGAGGAGGGAGCATGCACGGCAGGGGCAGTGAGCTGATGGTTAGCAGGAAGAGGGGTGGAGACCGGCTTGGCCTGCAACATCTCGAACCGCTGGAGGATGGACTGGATGTAGAACGACTGGGAGAGAGAGATGGTGCGGGTAGCACAATTACGACGGATCTCCATGCCAAGGTAGTAACGAAGCTCGCCAAGATCCTTGCATACGAGACACGCCTGCAGGGCTTTCTTGACGGCTGCAAGATTGGCGGAGTCCTCAGCATGCAGCACCAAATTGTCCACATAGGCAAGCATGTAAAGCCTGTGGGGGGGATGTGCGAATGAAAAGACTAGGGTCGGAGGTGGAGGTAGAGAAGCCAAGAGAGTGAAGGGTGGAGGAGAGCTTGGCGTGCCACTCACGTGTGGCCTGCTTAAGGCCATACACAGGTCGTTTCAATCCCAAAACCGTGCCTGGAGGAAAAGGGCGAGGAAAGCCAGTGGGGCGCTCAAAGAATATGCGCTCATGCAGCGTCGCCTTGGAGTAAAGCATTGGAAACGTCCATGGAATGGATCTCCCAATTCCAGCGAGCACCTAAGTCAAGAAGGAGGCGAAGAGTGGGGAGACGGGCTGTGAGGGAGTAAGTGGCAAAGTAGTCAATGCCTTCATACTGAGTGAACCCACAGTAGCGGGCTTTGAAGACACGAAGTTTTCCAGGAAGCTGCTTGATACGGAAGACCCATTTGCCTTTGACAATGGTGGCGCCAGGGAGGGGGACAGAGTCAATGTAGGAATTAGTTCTGGTAATGTTTCAACTCAGCAATGATAGCAGCCATCCACTCAGTGGCATTAAAGCCCAACACAGCCTCGGAGTAGGACTGAGGGTGGGAATGGCAGCAGTGTCGACAGAGAGAAGAGTGGGAGAATCGCTAAGGTCACCAATGGTGACACACAGGAGAGGAGAAACAGGATGAATGTTGAAGAGCTCCTCAAAGCGATCTTCAAGAAGAGTAACATTATGGGATAGAGAAAGACGAGTGAAAATAGCAGAGTGCTGAAAATTAGAAATTGCGCGAGTCATGGAGCGAGTAGGGCGCGGGGAAGGGGGGGCGAATGGGAACAGACGACGGAGGTGGAGAGGAAAATGGAAGTGAGGAAGGGAGGGGAGCCGAAGAGGAAGAGGCGGGTGGGGAGGCGCCAGAGATGATGTCGGAAGGGGGGGCAGTAGAGGCTGGCGCGGAGGGAGGGGCGGGAAGGGCCCGGTGTGACAGCGGCGGCAGTAGGAGGGCAGCTGCGGAGGTTGAGCTCTGCCTAGAGGAGGAAGGCAGAGACACGAGAGAACGACCACTGGTCGGCGGGGCGCTCGCCATGCAGGGAGACATGAACACTGTATTCAAGAGTGAGGCCTGTGAGGAGGAGGGCACCGCACACGTGATCAGAAAGTTCAAAATTTTGAGCTGCAAATTGGGAGGACAGCATCTGCACACGAGCGATGTAGTCCGCCATGTGTGGTGAAGCCGGTTAGGCGAAGAGAGGTGAGCTCGCGAAAGAGGGCAATGACATTGATGGGAGTCTGCGACTGGAAGCGCTTAGTAAGATAGCCGGGAAGGTCCTTGGCATAGTGGTTGTGCGAGCACTGAAGGAGAAGGGTTGGAGGTAGGCAGGCAAGGATGACCTGGCAGGCACGTGCGTTAGCAACATGCCAGTTAGCGAGAAGGTCAGAGTGAGATGGAACAGAAGCAAAGGCGTAGAGGCAGAGCGAGGAGAGGGGGCAGCGAGGTGCTCAGTGAGGCGCTTGCGGATGCTCTCGAGGGACTCAGTAAGAACACGAGCGGTCACGGGCTACAGCATTGTCAGGAGCAGCCGCAGCACTGGCTTGGGCCGTGGCCGCAATCCGCTCAGTTTCAGCTATAGCAGCACAAAGGCCATCAGCATAGGGGTCAGAGGAGATAGAGGTAGGTGCAGAGGCAGGTTTAGGAATGGCGCCAGAACCACTCTGCTGAGTGACAAACCAGAGGTTAAAGCCACTCACGAGGGTGCTAGACAGCGTGCGCTCAAGATAGTTCAGCCAACTGGGGAAATTGACTGCGCTGCGCAAGCTGAAGGACCAGTAGAGAGAGGGAGGGGAGGGCGAGAGAGGTCGCCATAAGGAGGAGGAGACAGTTGCAGAGAAGATGAGGGGAGAGGTATAAGAGGCGGAGGAATAAGTGCGAAGCAGTCTGCTGCTAAGCCGGTGGAGGGAGAAACAAGAGGAGGGAGATTGACGGAGTAGTTTGCTGCTGAGCCGCTGAGGGGAGAAACAAGAGGAGGAGGGATAGTGGCGGAGTAGTCTGTCAGAATGTTATAATTTTCTAGCCTGCAGTGGGGTACTCTATAGCGAGTACAACCCAATTAGGGTTTCCTATATGTATGCCAACTACTGCTAGTGCAAAGCCCCTCTCTTCTTCATTCCTCACTCTTCACATAGTCTGCTGCTACGCTGCTAAGGGGAGAAACTAGAGGAGGAGGGATAGTGGCGGAGTAATCTGCTGCTGTGCCACTGAGGGGAAAAATAAGAGGAGGAGGGATAGCGGCGAGGTTGTCTGCTACTGGGCCGCTAAAGGGAAAAAAAGAGGAGGGAGGGTTGAGAAGGAGTTTGCAGTTGAGCAGTTGAGGGGAGGGTACTAAGGAGGAGGAAAGGTGTGGAGGAGCAACAACTTCAAAAACACAATCAGCCACCAGCTGCAGCATATGAGGAGACAAAAGAGGTGGAGGAAAAAGAGTGGAAGGGGATTAAGAGGGAGAGAGGAGAGGAGGAGGATTGTCACAAGATCGAATTTTCAATCAAAACTTCTCACTAAAACTGAATTGAAGGCGTTTTTATACTCGGAAAATACTAGGATAAATGAGATAAAACGAACCTTCGGGAACACGCCCTTCCCGATACTACAATTACAAGTGCGCATAAGCACGCAAGGCTATTGGCACTTGGGATTACGCCCAGATTACACCGTATACACCACTGTCGGCGCTGTCGGTGCCGTATAATAGATATGTCGGTGGGAGAAGTAGGAAATAAGAGAAATAAATAGAAGGCTCTAGAAAATAGAGTAGTAGGCCGATTGAGATGAAATAAAGACCAAAATAAAGAGGAGAAAATAGAGAATAAGATAAAGGAAAGATAAAATAATGAAAAATATTATAACGGGGACGTCCCCCACGAGGATGGTGAGGGGCAGATTGTGGGAAGGGCGTGCCACAAGCACTTACGAGCTGCAGCAGATGAGGAGAGAAAAGATGAGGAGGAAGAGGTGAGATAGGGAGGGATGCACAAAGGAGAGAGGGAAGGAGGAGGGTGAGGGAGGGGAGGGCGGATTGGGAAAGGGCAGGCCGCGCCACAGGGGAGGTAAGCGCGCGCACTGCTCGACGAAGTGAAGCGCGCGCGGCGACGGCAGCGCAATGCGCGCAGCGCGACGAGACCGGAGGGGGTGGAGGGGAGGGGGGGGCGGCTGAGCGCGCTATGAGCAGAAATCAGCGCGCTACCACCGGAAACGTGAGGAGGAGGAGGCGCGACGAAAAGGGAAGGCGCGGGAGAGCAATACGGACGGTAGGGAGGCGCGCTACGGAGTGGAATAGAGCATCCACGTGACTAAAATGAAGAAAACCGCGAGGATGCTAAGTGTGACTTTAAAGGAAACGAGAAATTAAAAGAATAAGAAAATCGTCTAGCTAAGTAGCGCGGAAATGGCCTAAGGGCCAGAAAAAAATATAAGAGAAGCGGATAAAAGGGAAACGCCTAGGACTAGGCTCTGAATACCATGTTGAAGTTCGAGAAGCCATGGATGGCGAGCGGTTTTGGTGAGGTGAAAGAAGTTCGACTAGGAAGAGAATGTCGAGGTACAAAAGAGAGAGGGTTGGAAACATTAATTGAAACCTAGGGTGTGTTCGGTTTGTACTAAAAACTACGAAATGAACCTAGAATGAACCTGAATGCGTAAGCATGGAGTAATAACATAAGAACACAAAAATAGAGGCCAGAGCAAGCTCTAGCCTACTCCAACAACCTCATGTACGTCATGAATTGTACTCGTCCGGACCTCGCCTTTCCTCTCAGCGTCCTCTCTTCCTTTGTTGCGATTGGGAGACACCGTCCTGTTCACTAGACAGCTGCTGTGAGGGTGGCGAAGTACCTAGCGACTACATCAGTCATGGGGCTTGTGCTTGGAGGGACACAGCCAGTTGTACTCACCGATCACTGCAACTCTTCCTACGTCGACGACTTGGAGACACAGATTTCCACTTAGGGCTATTGCTTCAGCTTGGGCACTGGAGCTGTGTCGTGGAGGTCTACTCTGTCGTCGTCTAGTGCTGAGGCAGAGATCTACGCCGGTGCCATGGCTACGCAGGAGCTTCGCTTGTTGACCTTCTTGCTCACCGACCTTGGTGAGACGGTCGAGCTCTGCACCGACCTTGTTCGCTGACAACAAGGCCATGATCCTCCTATGTCGGGAACCCCGACTGGAGAGCAGAGTGAAGCACATCGATGTCAGGTACTTTCTCCTGCGAGCGTTACAGCGACGTGGGCAGGCTCACTTGGACTTCGTGACCTTAGAGACCAACACTGCAAACATTGCATGAATTGTAGTTAGCCTTCACCAAGGCCCTTCCGCCCGATGACCACCACCGGCTCTGTTTGTAGTTGGGCCTTGTTGACGTAGGCTCTTGATTCCAGTAGTCTTGTCTCTTGTTGCTGGCTGTACTTCTATATATGTCTGCGAACTCTTGAACTGGCCTTGTGCCCTCTTTTGTGCTCAGAATGTGTGATGACTTCGTGATCCACCTTGATCATTCTGTGTTTCTTTCTTGACTAATCTTGTGACCACATTCATATCATACTTGTTTTGATGCTCCTCACTGAGCCTATGGGGGTGTGTCAAACTATGTTTGTAGATATATATATGCTCGAGTGAGTTGCATGTACAATACTATATAGACACCTTGGTTGTATCACCCTCCCTTGACCTAATCAACACATTCTCGTTAGTCCCTAAGGCTCCTACCGTATTCTCCTGGACAAAACACATCGCCGTAATTGTAGACCCTCGGATAGCTTATGCGGGTTGGGTGTTATGATAGACCTCGTTTCTACTATACCCCTCTTTTTGGCTGATTTTCTATAACATCCCCCTTTTCTTACGAATTCGTTATTATAGTCGTTAACGAGTAGCTGCAATACGGAAGAATATCGCGAAAATTTCTCCCTATACAAAATTGTGGAACATTCACTTACAATCTACCGAGATTTCCCCCCCTCCCACTACTTCGCAGTCGCCACGTGCAGACCAGGGCCTCAGATATCAGGAAAAAAACCCTGAAATTCCTGATTTTGGCAGCCCTTTTTTTACCTACACTGAAAAATCAGCGTTGAGATTTTTGTGGGACTGATCTTTCAGCCTTTTTTGTTAGGCCACACTGAAATTTCAGACTTTCGTTTCCAAGTACACTGATTCTACGGCGTTGTAACGAAACTAACACTGAAAGCAATTCTTACTTGTTCCGTGTGCATTTGCCCGCAAAACAGGGAATCTCATATTCCTGCGGTGCCAGCACTTCATTGGGCAGTAACGCTGTAGCATGAAGTGATAGCTAATCAGGATGTGGCAACCATGTTGTGCTGGAGGGCTGCGAGGGTTCCTGCACCAGCAAGCACTGATGCTCCCATTCCCTCCAACCCAATCTCTTGTTTCTTTTCCTCCTGTTTCTCTCCCTCTCCCTCTCAGCCCGATTCCTCTCTTGCTTTCTCGTCTGCACTAATTCATGGCGCCATCAGCACCAGAAAGGGCGGGCTGTCGGGAATCGAACCCATCGCAAGCGCCGCCGAATCTCCTCTTGTCTCACCGAACACATCGCTCTCGTTCGACGCGATCCGCAGTGCATTCTGCTAGATGGTCGTAGACCACGTGGCAATTCCCGTCGGCGTCGCAGGCCCGCTACGACTCGAGGACGCGTAGTTTTTCGTGCTAATGGCGGCAACCGAAGGCTGCCTCGTCGCCAGCACGAACCGCGGTTGAAAAGGCCATCTGCACCGCATGCGGTGCGCAGATCGTCGTGCTGCGCGACGACATGATCCGCGCATGACCCGCGCGCCCGCTGTCCATTCCTCTGCTCCCTTTGCCCCGCACTCCGTGCACTCCATCTCTCCCCCAGTCGTCTCCCCCCAACTGTGCCAATCTTCCCCCCTCTCTCCCTCCTGTTCTCTCTTTCCCTGCCTCACCCTGCCTGTCAATCCGGTTTCCTCCTCCACACCCTGCCCCTGCAGCTTCAACGTGTATGTGTGTGCTGCGGCAGAGCACTGTCACGTACTGGTGTCCCAAGCTGAGGAGAGGAGAGAAGCCAAAGGTAGTGATGATAACACGGCTGCTACTGACTTAGTATTTGAAGTAGAGTTTTCTAGTAATCAACAACCTTTTATATTTTTGAACACTGATACATCAGCCTTTTTCAAAGGGAACCCTGATATTTCAGGTTTTTTTTTTTTTAGAAACACTGTCAATCAGGGTTTATACACAAGGGTACCCTGATGGGTCGACGACCCTAAAAGTGAATCTGAGGCCCTGGTGCAGACGAATCTTCCGCTGCAAGTGGCAAGAGAGGTGCCACATGGCATTTTCGTAGGGGTGATGAAGTTCGTGGCCGAAAATCACATTTGCGCCTCAGACAGTGATGTTAAAATGAAAATCAGAACACCCACATTGTCTAATCAAATTAACACTAACACTAAATATACCATATGTAAAGACCGGGTATTATGTATTTTTTTCCTATGAGGAGACCGCCCCCATTTTTCCCTGTATTTTTAGCTATACCCTAGGGTGTTATGTCCAGGAGAATAAGGTAGTTTCTAAGATTTTCTGTTGATTCCTCGTAGTAGGTGTAACTCTAACTCTGATACAATTACTGGAATACAGGGTTACCGTAACTTTTTTTGGTTTGAATAGCTCAGTTTTGGAAAGTTGATTATTTTACAATAACCAGGGTCTGAAACCTCAGACTAATCAGACATCAAGTCCGGTTGTTGGTCACCACCAACTTGACAACTCAAATGAGCGTTCTTCCATAGCATTCATTCATTCATAGCCGCGTTTGGCAGTCACAGTGCACACGGCACTGCGTATGATTGTCGGTTGAAGGCCCTTGGTCTCGGCGCTGAAGCTCACTTCAGCTTGTCGCCACCCAAGGCAGTTGTGGACGCCGCAGCGGCGGCAGCAGAGCCGGCGACAACGACCCTGACGGGGGGAACGGGCACGAGCTGCCACCAGCGGCGCAGCTTGTGGCCCCATGGAGGAGGTCTGCGGGCCGCCCTTCTGCTTTTGGAAGTTGAAGTAGGCGGAGAAGATGTGCAGCACTGCCACCGTGCCGATCACCCGCGCCGGCACCAGCAGCGGCACCACCACAGCCGCTGCCGCCCCCGCCAAGCAGCAGCAGCAGCACCTTGTCAGTGAGCTGTGGGGGGGCGGGGTGATGCAGAGGGGGAGGGTGACGCGCAGGGGGAGGGGTGACGCACAGGGGGAGGGGTGACGCACTGGGGGAGGGGTGACGCACAGTGGGAGGGGTGACGCACAGTGGGAGGGGTGACGCAGAGGTGAAGGGGTGATGCAGAGGTGAAGGGGTGATGCAGAGGTGAAGGGTGATGAGTGCAAACCATCGGTCCAACCACGACAGTTGAGTAGACAAGAGGAAATCCACCAGGTGCATGTGAGACTAATATCAGTATGCAGCCTACTACTCTGCCTTACCCAGCTGCTCCCCTGCACCCATGTGCCCCAGTGCACGCACCTGTGGCTCGGCGGACTGGAAGATGCTGCGCACTTTGAGCAGCGCCACGTTGATGCGCTGGAACACGGTGAGCGCCGCCGCGATGCCGTCCTTCACCATCATCACCGCCCCCATCGTGGTGGGCGACGGCTCCATCTCCACCACCAGCACCCGCATCGCCCCGCCCCCCATGCCCCACCGCCCCCCCGCTGCTGACGCTGGTGGCGCCGGCGAGGACGCCAGGGCGGGGCTGCCGAGGGGCAGCTGTGAGGCTGTCGACTTGGGGGAGCCGGGGCCGTGGGGGAGAGAGGGGGGTTGTGGCGGCGGCGAGGAGGGGTTGGTGATGCGGTAGAAGATGATAATGGCGGCGAGCAGCAGCAGCAGCAGCGCTGGTAGCAGCCAGAAGTATCCCCTGGAGGGAAGCACGGCAATCGAGAAGACGGACAGGAGAGGCAGGGGCAGGAAAACGGAGAATTGGGGCAAGGGGCATTGCCTAAACGTATCTGCCAGGACGCCAAGATGCCTCTGGAAAAAAAGTCTCCTCGATTATGTTATATGTATTGACGAGAGAGAACGAGAAAAGAGAGAACGAGAAAGGAGAGAACAGAAAACGAAAGGCCAAGGGGGAGCGAGGGAGAGCAAAGTAGGGCAGACTGAGGCGGGGAGGGGCTTGCCCGTTGACGAGGAAGAGGCAGAGCATGGCGGCGAGGATGGTGGCGAGTGGCTCCTTCCACTGAATGATGTCCACCGCCGCCCGCACCCCGCTGTACACCGGCCGCAGCAGATGCTGGGGGGAGGGGAGGCGGGGGGGAGGGCGGGGTGTGAGAATCTCAAAGAGGGATTAACGGTTTTGAGTGAGGGGCTAGGATAGTGTGGCATGTGAAGATTGGGAGGCGTGGCGCATCCAATCATGTCCAGACGACACAAAACAGGATGGGGAAGCGGGAAGAGAAGGTGCACAGGCAGTGAGGCTCGAGGAGGAGACGGGCGGAGGGAGAGTGAGGCACCAGGAGGAGAGGGGTGGAGGAGCAGGGGGGCAAGAGGAGGAAAAGGGTGGGGGAGGCAGGGGGGCACCAGGAGGAGAGTGACGTTGCTGGGGATGTCGTCTATGAGCGACCCCTCCACCGTTGCCTGCGCCCTGTCCGCTAGCTCCTCCCTCTCCCTGTTGCCTTGGCCCCACGCATTCACTCACTCACTCACACACACACACACACACACACACACACACACACACACACACACACACACACACACACAACTCAATGGCAGCGACCAGTTTTGCAAGCACAGCCACTCACACGGGGACACACAACGAGGTAGAGGGCGGCAGAGGGTAGCGGGCAGAGGGCAATGGATTAACTTACACCTCTCTCCTGTGGTCTCAATTTGACCACCTCGCCCCTCACCTCGCCCCTCACCTCGCCCCTCACGTTGCCCCTCACGTTGCCCCTCACGTTGCCCCTCACGTTGCCCCTCATGTTGCCCCTCACGTTGCCCCTCACGTTGCCCCTCACGTTGCCCCTCACCTTGCCACTTGCACAGCCTTCTCCAGTTTCATCTGAATCCGATCTCCAAACCCCCTCTCTTCCTCCTCGTCCTCATCCTCCTCCTCTTCTCCCACTGATGCAGCACTTGCCATCGACCCGGCCCCCTCCCTCCCTTTCCAAAACGACACTGACGACTGAAGCTTCCAGGAAGCCGACCGCCCCAGAGGTCTGAGCCCCCCAGCAGCGCCACTCACGCATCCCCCCTGCCGCTCCGCTCCTCTTCCTCCTCCTCACCGCCCTTCCCCAACCCGCTCCCCTGCCCGCCCTTACTCATCAGGAACAGCTCTCTGGGTGACATCAACGTCCCCCCCCTCCCCCCTGCACGCTCCTCCGCTCGCTGTCCTCCTTTCAGCAGCAGCGCAAGGCGCTTGGCGGACCACTTGCCGGTGCGCAGGGCGGGCAGGCGCTGCGGGCCCCACAGCAGCAGCGCCAGCGCCTGCTCCACCAGATGGCCCTCGGGCACGGTGCGCGCCCACGAGAAGGGCAGCAGGCGCGACGGCCGCGCAGGCGTGCTGCCAATGACGGTTTGCAGTGCCTGGGTGAGGGGGGTAGATTGTAGTGGCAGTGAGAGAGGCGGGGATGGTGGATGGCCGTCAGGCATGGCGGCTACAGGTGGCCGCGGTGGAGAGGGGAGAGGCAGGTTGGTTTGAAAGTGTGCGTGCCATGTCTACCAGTCGAGGTAGGTACTTGCCTCTTACCTGAGTTGATAATGACTATGCTGGCCAGCTGCGACCGAAACCATGCTAGAGTGGCGCTGGGCCTTAGGTGCGCATGCTTGCTGCTAAGGAGGTGGCGCATGCTTGCTGCTAAGGAGGTGGCGCATGCTTGCTGCCTATGTTGCGCCTGACGCCCTGGAAGGGCAGCGTCCAGCGTCCGGACGTGAACGTCCGGACGCTGGACGCGTCAAATCGGTTTGACGCTGGACATTCAGGGAAAAAAATTTCGGGCAGCCCGAAAAAACATTCTCCCCGCACGAAATTGACTCGCGATCTCATCGCGACCAGCATTGCGATGAGATTGCCAACTGGGGGCCACGTTTTTGACCTACAAAAACGCAACCCTCATTTATTCACCCCCACACATTTGTACCCATCCACATCTACTTCTCCCAACCAGGTCGACACCCAACTAAACTAGAGAACCAGATCCAGGTCGACATTACCCAGATCTGTTGCTCTCGACATTGCCAATCATTCCTACGAGGCAACAATCACGCTACTAAGCCTACCTAGCTAAAACTAGGTTAAGACGATTGGCACATCATGTCAACTGCTAGTCCCGCCGGTCATTCTGTTAGTGCCTCCACACCTTCTGTCGGTGGTGTGGAGGGAGAACGCCAGTACGACGAAATGCCTAAACATCCCGTGTACAAGCATTTTTTATTTTACGTTAAGGATCCCACCAAAGGCAGAATGGCGAAATGCCGTTATTGCCCGCCCAAAAGAGTTCGTTTCCAGTAGCACGCGTTGCACCGCTCATCTTGCTGATTGGGAGGGGAAGAAGGGTCACGACATTACTGTGTGCCCGGATGCGCCAAAAGAGGTAGTAGAGAGCATTCGCACATTGCAGGAGGGGAAATGTAAGAAGCAGTTGGAGAAAAACCGGGCGGAGATGGCGGCCATGGATGCGGTTAGTGGCAAAACCAGCAGCGGGGTGGGTTCTAAGAGAGGGCGCATGTCAGATTTCTATGGGGCGGAGGGGTCAGTGGCTAGGCGGGAGGCGGATGATGCCATATGTCTCTATTTCGCAGCATTGGGTGTTCCCGAAAACCAAGCCGACAACCCTCTTTTCCGCAACATGATAAGGGCAGTTGCAGCAGCGGGTGGTAGCTATGTCCCTCCGAAGAGAAAGTACGTGGGCGGGGCTGGACTGCAGCGGACTCGTAAGAGGATTGAGGAGGGGTTGGATCCCGTGGTTAAGAAGTGGCCGGAGAAAGGTGTCACCATCTCTAGTGACATGATGAGTGACAGGAATGGGCGTGCGCAGGCGAATTTCCTTTGCGTCAACGAAGATGGAGCTGTGTTTATGGAGAGTGTTGACTGCGGGACGGAACGGAAAACAGGCGGTTACATTGCTAGCCTCATCCGGCCAGTCATAACGAAGGTGGGGCCGGAAAATGTCGTTGCACTATGCATGGATGGAGCGAGCAACTACGCAGCCGCGACCCGTGAGATTGTGAAGGAATGGCCGCACATTGAGATTGTGCCGTGCGCAACACATGTGCTTGACCTCTTTATGGAAGACATAAGGAAGATGGATTGGACCAAAAAGTTGGTTGAACGAGCGGGGGAGCTGATCACATTCTTGCGCAACCATCATTGGACACGCGCATACCTAAGGGCGGGGGAGCTGCATGGCGAGAAGGTGCTGCAGGCATTGCGACCTGCGGGCACTCGCTTCGGGACACAATACCTTGCCGTGTCTCGACTTTGTGAGTTGCGCCCTCATCTGTCCAGCATGGTCTCCCATGATGTCTTCACGGACTGGGCTGCAGCTGCAGGTGCTAAGCTATGTTGGAAAAGTCGCGCCCAGCGCACTATACGCAAGCGTATATACGCTTGCGTATAGTGCGTTATGCACTTCGTGAGTGACTTTGAAAGTCGCAGAAAGTACGCTGCCTGGGCAGCAAAAGGTTTTTACCAGGCAGACGAAAAAAACCGCCGAAGGAGGGGGGGGGGAGTGGTGGTTTTACCGAATTTCATATATTGAAAAAACCCACCATTCTCAACTACTCTAAACAAGCAACATGCATCTCTCCTACCCCACCCCCTACTCCCACCCTCTACTCCCCCCATCCCTTCCTTCGTCCTCTACTTGTACTCATCCTCCAGCTCATCCTCCTCCCCCTCCTCCTCATCCTCCTCCAGAACCTCGTTGTACCCTTCCGGCAGGGAGGCCTCAGGGATGTTCCCCGGGAGAACCATCACCCACTCAGCCCCCTTGTGCCAGTTGCGCACAATGTTCCAATTGTGCGCAACATACACGAGGTCCCGACACTTCTCGGACCCCAACTTGTTGCGCTTGGCAGTGTGGATCGATTCCCGCACTGCCCAGTTCCTCTCACACGCGGACACTAGCTGAGAGAGAACGCGGCAAGCGAGCGTTGTCAGCTCGGGGTACTCCGTCCCGTGCCACGTCCACCACTGGACGGCCGTCTTCTCACCGGCCTTCACGAGCTCACGGTCAGAGATGGCGTCGGGTAGGCCGAAGCTCCCCTGAAGGGTGTTGAATGCCATCAGGCCGTCCTGGATGACGTGGGATGCGCGCAGCTCCTCGCCATCCTTGCGCGTGACGGTCCGCCCTGCGTAGTGACGAGCGACAAACGCTTTGAAGACGCGAGTACACTCCAGGTCGGTGCGGAAGATGCCTTCCTCTCGGTTGGCCGGGTTGAGGATCCGGCCAACCACGTGCATGGCACACGCCATGCTATGGTCCCAGCGCTTTTGGACGATGTTGGTCACCTCCGTGCGTTCACTGCTGGACAGCACCAATCCCGCCTCCTCCTCCAGCTTCGCATTGATGTCTTCCGTGAGCTGCAGCATCAGATCGTACATCCTGCCCATCATGCCCTTGGCCGTCGAGTCGGTCTTGCGCATGACGACAAAAGGGATCTTCAGGAGGGCGACGAAGAACTCCGCACCTTTCCGCCACACGGCATCCATGATCATGGTTGCGAAGGGCTCGACCGGCGGCTTCCTCCCCTTCGCCCAAGCCTGCCACTCCGGGCTCAGCACCATCTGCGTCAATGCACTCCGCACCTCGCAAAGCCGCTGCACCGCGATGAATTGCGTGCCAAATCTGGTGCCCGCCGGCTTCAGTACCTGCTTCCCCTTCCCTCCCTTCACTTGCGGGCTTCGCATGTAACCTTTGGTGAAATGGTGGGCACACACAAAGGTAATAATCACCCCCGCCTTAGCCACAATGTCCTTCGCCCAATCCATTTTCCCAATGTCCTCCATGAGCAGATCCATGACGTGAGTAGCGCACGGCACATGCTCAATGTGAGGATACTCAAGCATGAGTTCTCTACATGCAGCCACATAATTGCTGCCCCCATCCATGCATAACTCAACTATGTTGGCAGGCCCCACCTTCTCAATGATCGGGCGCAAAACGGATGCAATGTAGCCTCCCGTCTTCGTCTCCAACTTACAGTCGATGCTTTCGGTGAACATTGCACCGGAATCGTTGATGAGCAGGATGTTGGCTTGGGGACGGCCACTTTTGTCCGTCATCATGTCCGAGCCTATCGTCACGCCATCCCGCTTCCAGCTCGCAGTGATGGGAGCGAGCCCCCTCTCGATCTTTTCGCGGCAGCGCGCAAGGCCGGCGCCACCAACATACCGCCGCTTCGGGGGAACGTAGCCATGGCCCGCGTCCGTGATGCAGCGCACAGCGTTGCGCCAGAGAGGGTGATCGGCGAGATGCTCCGGGAGGTGAAGTGCCGCCCACATGAGGCAGATGGCGTCGTATGCCGATTCCTTCGCACACGACGCCCCTTCCCCGTAGAAGTCTTCGATGCACTGCTTCTTCGCTCCACCCGCACACGCCTCGATCGCCATCTCCTCCGCCTTCTTCTTCCCTTCCCTGCGGGCGTGTTTGCCTTCGTACAATTCGCGGACGGCGCCGCGGTCAGCAGAAGGGATAGGCGCCTTGCAAAGACGGACGTCCTTCCGTTTCAGCCCTTTCCAGCGCGTGATGTGTTGCGCGCAACGGAAGGCGCCCCCTATGAACTTAAGCTTGCAGTGCCGGCATATGCGGAGAGTACGCTCAGGACCATTCGAGGTACCTTCGGTAGAGGTAAGGAAATGCTTAAAAATAACATGGGTGTTCACAGGAACATCCTCGTCGTCCGCCATGGTCGCGTCATTCGAAACACTAGGAGCCTCACTAGTGGCACTTGCGGGAGTACCAGAAGGAGTCGACATCAAGTGCAGGTGAGCGGGAGTGTTGAGAGAGAATGAACGAGAGAGATAATACAGATGACGGGAATGAGAGCTTACCTTATAGTCCAGGATGTGGTTGAACCACCTACGCTGGTTGACGACATTCGTGTTTGTGTGTTGGAGTCGCGTCGCGCGATAGCATAGGGTGCAGTGCGGTTCAAATTTTCTCACGTCCCCACATTTTGGCAGGTGTGGGTGACAATGTGGTTGGGACGTGCGTACAAATTGGGGTGGGACGTGCGTACATTTTGAGTCGCGTCGCACATTCGCAATTCGTGCGCGACTATTGAAATCTGGTTTTTTTTCGGGTCAGCCCGAACTTTCGCCAACGAATATACGTACGACTTGCGTACACCGTATATTCGTAAACGACTATACGGAGTGCGCTTATGGTTTCTGGCGACTTTTCCAACATAGGTGCTAAGGTGAAGGAGGCAGCAGACAAGTTTGAGAAGTACGTGCTGGATTCTGCGTGGTGGAAGACAGCAGAGTTCTTCAAGAAGCTGCTGCAGCTGCCATATGTCACCATGCGTAAGACAGACTCGACAAAGAAGGGGATGATGGCAAATATGTATGACCTGATGCTACAGTTGACGGAGGAAATGAGTGCATTGCTGGAGGAGGATGAGGAGCAGCTGAGCGACGAGGATAAGGAGAAGATCAGCGATTTTCTGAAGGCTAGATGGGATGATAGCCTTGCATGTGCGCTCCATGTGGCTGGCCGGATTTTTAATCCGGCCAACCAGAAGGAGGGAATCTTTCTTCGGGATAGGGAGTGTACCAAAGTCATGAAGGAGTTCTTAGAGCGTGCGCATGATTTCTTGGTGAAGTACAAGAGGGGTGGAGCTGGTGGCTTCAAAGAGCTTCAGAAGGGGATGCTTGCCTACATTAACGGTGATGGGAGTTTCGGCACAAAGAGCGCGGTGGAGGCTCGGGAGGAGATTCGGGCTGGGAAGGGGGATCTGCTAAGCTGGTGGCAGTGGCATGGATGCGACTACCCCGAGCTAGCTGACATTGCGCGCCGTACCCTTGCGCAGCCCGTGTCGGCCTCCTCGTGCAAGCGGAATTGGGCTAAGTGGGAGGGAGTGCACACGGCTCGCCGGAACCGGCTAGGGTCGGAGAAATGCCGCGACTTGGTGTACGTGGCCCACAACTGGCTGGTGGTGCATAATGCACACAAGCGACCTGAGATGGAGGGGGCCGGGATAATTGAGGGTAACAAGCCAGACCCCCCGGTCCCGGAGGGATACATTCTGCAGGAGGAGGTGGATGAGGAGGAGGAGGAAGAAGACAAGCTGCTGGCTGATGAATATGTGGCAATCCCCCCTCTTCCCTAGGTTATGCATGTGAGAAGAGGAGTATTTAACTTGTGTGTGAGATTAGGAGATTTTCAGGATTTTCTGGATTTTATAGAGTATTTATGACTGTAGGTGACAAATGTGAACTTCTTGCATTCAAACCCTTGCGTATCCTTACTAGGCAGGTTTTTTTACCCCTGCCCGGAAATTTTTTTTGCCCTGCCCGGACTAGCGTGCGTCAAGCGGGCGTCCAGGGCAGAGGGCCCTGAGCGTCAAGCGTCTGGACGCCCCGTCCAGACGCCAGCGTCAAAAACGCCTGACGCGTCAGGCGCAACATAGCTTGCTGCTAAGGAGGTGGCGCATGCTTGCTGCTAAGGAGGTGGCGCATGCCTCACCGTCACCAACACAGGGCGCATGGGAGGGGGGGACGTGCATGGGAGGCAATGCGGAATGCATGTGTGGGTGAGTGCATGTGTGGGTGAGTGCATGTGTGGGCGAGTGCATGTGTGGGTGAGTGCATGTGTGGGTGAGTGCATGTGTGGGTGAGTGCATGTGTGGGTGAGTGCATGTGTGGGTGAGTGCATGTGTGGGCGAGTGCATGTGTGGGTGAGTGCATGTGTGGGTGAGTGCATGTGTGGGTGAGTGCATGTGTGGGTGAGTGCATGTGTGGGCGAGTGCATGTGTGGGCGAGTGCATGTGTGGGTGGGCGCACCTGCAGCTGCAGCACGGCGTTGACCATCATCCACACGGCCTGCTGGCTGCCCTCCTCCAGCAGCAACACCTCCAGCGATGGCTTCTCCCCCTCCTCCTTCCCCTCCTCACTCCCCTCCTCCTCTTCCTCCTCCTCCTCCACTTGCCCCTCGTCATCGTCGCTGACATCATCGCTCAGATCATCATCATCATCATCAGCATACTCCTCCTCCTGCGTGCCAGCTGGCAGCACCTCACTGGGCACGGGGCGGTAGTCAGCGAGGAAGGCGTGCAGGGAAAGCACCTCCCCCAGCAGCGCCTGCCAGAGGTCGCGCTGGCGCTGCAGCTTGTACTCTATGAACTCCACCGTCCATGTCGCCTGCCTGCCGAGGATGGGCATGAGATGGGCATGGGATGGGCATGGGATGGGCATGGGATGGGCATGGGATAGGCATGGGATGGGCATGGGATGGGCATGGGATGGGCATGGGATGGGCATGGGATGAGCATGGGATAAGCATGGGATGGGCATGGGATGGGCATGGGATGGGCATGGGATGGGCATGGGATGGGCATGGAATGGTCATGGGATGGGCATGGGATGGGCATAGGATGGGCATGGGATGGGCATGGGATGGGCATGAGATGGGCATGGGATGGGCATGGGATGGACATGGGATGGGCATGGGATGGGCATGGGATGGGCATGGGATGGGCATGGGATGGGCATGGAATGGACATGGGATGGGCATGGGATGGGCATGGGATGGGCATGAGATGGGCATGGGATGGGCATGGGATGGGCATGGGATGGGCAAGGGATGGGCATGGGATGGGCATGGGATGGACATGGGATGGACATGGGATGGGCATGGGATGGGCATGGGATGGACATGGGATGGACATGGGATGGGCATGGGATGGGCATGAGATGGGCATGGGATGGGCATGGGATGGGCATGGGATGGGCAAGGGATGGGCATGGGATGGGCATGGGATAGGCATGGGATGGGCATGGGATGGTCATGGGATGGGCATGGGATGGGCATGGGATGGGCATGGGATGGGCATGAGATGGGCATGGGATGGGCATGGGATGGACATGGGATGGGCATGGGATGGTCATGGGATGGGCATGGGATGGGCATGGGATGGGCATGGAATGGACATGGGATGGGCATGGGATGGGCATGGGATGGGCATGAGATGGGCATGGGATGGGCATGGGATGGGCAAGGGATGGGCATGGGATGGGCATGGGATAGGCATGGGATGGGCATGGGATGGGCATGGGATGGGCATGGGATGGGCATGGGATGGACATGGGATGGACATGGGATGGGCAAGGGATGGGCATGGGATGGGCATGGGATAGGCATGGGATGGGCATGGGATGGTCATGGGATGGGCATGGGATGGGCATGGGATGGGCATGGGATGGGCATGGAATGGACATGGGATGGGCATGGGATGGGCTTGGGATAGGCATGGGATGGGCATGGGATGGGCATGGGATGGGCATGGGATGGGCATGGGATGAGCATGGGATGGGCATGGGATGGGCATGGGATGGGCATGGGATGGGCATGGGATGGGCATGGGATGGGCATGGGATGGGCATGGGATGGGCATGGGATGAGCATGGGATAAGCATGGGATGGGCATGGGATGGGCATGGGATGGGCATGGGATGGGCATGGGATGGGCATGGAATGGTCATGGGATGGGCATGGGATGGGCATAGGATGGGCATGGGATGGGCATGGGATGGGCATGAGATGGGCATGGGATGGGCATGGGATGGACATGGGATGGGCATGGGATGGGCATGGGATGGGCATGGGATGGGCATGGGATGGGCATGGGATGGGCATGGGATGGGCTTGGGATAGGCATGGGATGGGCATGGGATGGGCATGGGATGGGCATGGAATGGTCATGGGATGGGCATGGGATGGGCATAGGATGGGCATGGGATGGGCATGGGATGGGCATGAGATGGGCATGGGATGGGCATGGGATGGACATGGGATGGGCATGGGATGGGCATGGGATGGGCATGGGATGGGCATGGGATGGGCATGGGATGGGCATGGGATGGGCATGGGATGGGCATGGGATGGGCATGGGATGGGCATGGGATGGACATGGGATGGGCATGGGATGGGCATGGGATGGGCATGGGATGGCGCTGCAGCTTGTACTCTATGGAGTCCACCGTCCATGTCGCCTGCCTGCCCCCGTCCACAATTTTAGAAATATAGCATGCTAAGATTGTGACTCTACACCAAGTGTGGTGTTAAGTCGAGTTAAGACTGTAGTACCCCTTTGCAGGTGCACACGTTGTGATTGGGTGCCAATCCAACTTAATTGTGGTGGAGCCCAAATTCACAGCCAAGTGGGGTGGTTGGTCCCATCCCCCATGGTCCCCTCCTTGTGGTTGGTTAATCCAACCACGATTAGGGACCAATGGCTTCTTCCACCACTTGCTCCCACCCAACATCATCATCCCCAAGCCTTTCTTGGCTCCTATGTATGCCTTTCTTTCTATCGATGCTCCGTCTTCTCCAACTCTTTTCACACGGCACACCAGCGCACACGCTTGATCATGGCATGGGAGGGAGCTGTCGAGACAAAAGAAGCAGCAGAGAGGACTCGATGAGGAAAATTGGGGCATGGAATGGTTATCACATGGGCATGGGATGGCCATGGGATGGGCATGGGATGGGAGTGGACATGCGGTGTGACTGCAGCTTGTACTCCATGAACTCCACCGCCCACGCCACGCCACCTGCCTTCCGCCCTCACAGCACCACGTGCACACGGATTGCAGGTGGCAGGGAGGTCCCTTGACAAGGAGAGCAGCATGGGGGACTTGATGAGGAGAAGTGTGGTGCATGGGGGATGGGAGGGCCATGGGATGAGCATGGGGCGTTGGGCAGAAGCGGGAGTGCGACGGGAAGAATGGGAGCAGAGAGGCGGGAAGAAAGAGCGAGCGAGCAGGGCGCACAGGGAGGAGGAGAGGGCGAGGGAGCGCACAGGCGGGAGGAGAGGGCAAGGGAGCGCGTCATGGAGAAGACGTTGAGCGCCAGCGCGTCCGGCGCCACCTCTGCCACCGCCGCCTCCGCCCCCACAGCTGCCAGGTCAAAGCGCTCCACCCTCCCCGCCACCGTGCGCAGGAAGCCCGTGGCGTCCGCCTGGATGCGCAGAGAGGGGGAGCGGGGTTTGGGGGGGGGGGGGAAGGGAAGATGAGTTGTGGGGTTTGGTAAGGGAGTAAGGTGGGGAGTGTGGGAGCAAGGCAGGTGCAGCAGGTGGAGAAGAGAGGTGGTGTTGTGTGGGAAGGAGGGCGCACCTGGAAGTAAAGGGCGAGAGGGGTGAGGTAGAGGCGGCCATGGCCCACAAGCGTCTTGGGCGCCCCCGGGGCGTCGATGTAGAGCGTGGCGTCGCTCTCCGCCACCACCACCTCCCTCTCCTGCAGCCCCAGCGCCGCTGCTATCACCCCCGTGCGCTTGCCCATCGCCTCCTGCTCACTGCACACACACACACACACACACACACACACACACACACACACACACACACACACACACACACACACATACACACACGGGGCGTGCATGGCAAGGTGCGGCATGTGTGCCATGGCATGGCTTCGGATGGTATGGGTCATGTGGACGGGTGGCATGGCATGGCAAGTCTGGGATCGCATGGGACGCTCACCCATACCACACCCCACTCCCTGCGCCCCACTCACTGCGCCCCACTCACTGCGCCCCACTCCCTGCGCCCCACTCACTGCGCCCCACTCCCTGCGCCTCACTCCCTGCGCCCCACTCACTGCGCCCCACTCCCTGCACCCCACTCACTGCGCCCCACTAACTGCGCCCCACTCACTGCGCCCCACTCCCTGCGCCCCACTTACTGCGCCCCACTCCCTGCGCCCCACTCACTGCGCCCCACTCACTGCGCCCCACTCCCTGCGCCCACTCACTGCGCCCCACTCCCTGCGCCCCACTCACTGCGCCCCACTCCCTGCGCCCCACTCACTGCGCTCCACTCCCTGCGCCCCACTCCCTGCGCCCCACTCACTGCGCCCCACTCCCTGCGCCCCACTCACTGCGCCCCACTAACTGCGCCCCACTCACTGCGCCCCACTCCCTGCGCCCCACTCACTGCGCCCCACTCCCTGCGCCCCACTCACTGCGCCCCACTCACTGCGCCCCACTCCCTGCGCCCCACTCACTGCACCCCACTCCCTGCACCCCACTCACTGCGCCCCACTCCCTGCGCCCCACTCACTGCGCCCCACTCCCTGCACCCCACTCACTGCGCCCCACTCCCTGCGCCCCACTCACTGCGCCCCACTCCCTGCGCCCCACTCACTGCGCCCCACTCCCTGCGCCCCACTCACTGCGCCCCACTCACTGCGCCCCACTCCCTGCGCCCCACTCACTGCGCCCCACTCCCTGCGCCCCACTCACTGCGCCCCACTCCCTGCGCCCCACTCACTGCGCCCCACTCCCTGCGCCCCACTCCCTGCGCCCCACTCACTGCGCCCCACTCCCTGCGCCCCACTCACTGCGCCCCACTCCCTGCGCCCCACTCACTGCGCCCCACTCCCTGCGCCCCACTCACTGTGCCCCACTCCCTGCGCCCCACTCACTGCGCCCCACTCCCTGCGCCCCACTCACTGCGCCCCACTCCCTGCGCCCCACTCACTGCGCCCCACTCCCTGCGCCCCACTCACTGCGCCCCACTCACTGCGCCCCACTCACTGCGCCCCACTCCCTGCGCCCCACTCACTGCGCCCCACTCCCTGCGCCCCACTCACTGCGCCCCACTCTCTGCGCCCCGCTCACTGCGCCCCACTCCCTGCGCCCCACTCCCTGCGCCCCACTCACTGCGCCCCACTCCCTGCGCCCCACTCACTGCGCCCCACTCACTGCGCCCCACTCACTGCGCCCCACTCCCTGCGCCCCACTCACTGCGCCCCGCTCCCTGCGCCCCACTCACTGCGCCCCACTCCCTGCGCCCCACTCACTGCGCCCCACTCACTGCGCCCCACTCACTGCGCCCCACTCCCTGCGCCCCACTCCCTGCGCCCCACTCACTGTGCCACGGCGGCCACAAACTGGTGCATGCGGTCGGCAGAGAGGCCCGAGGGGGGCGGCTGGGCGGAGGGCGAGTTGGCAGCGCGAGTGAAGGCGAGGTGGTGGTGCAGGCAGGCGGCCGTGGCGGGCGTGGCGAGCTCCCCCAGCAGCGGCGCCACGCGTGTGAACCCCAGCGCCATCGCCTCCGCCTGCAAAGCCCTCTCCTTCTCCAACCTCTCCTCCTCCGTGCCCACCGCCTGCACCTGCTGCTGGGGCAGCGGGGAGCAGGAGGACGCAGGGGCGGGTGTCATGAAGGGGAGGGGGCACATCAGCGGTCTGTGAAGCTACTTTGCAGAAAATCCGGTGGCACATGCTCCGTGCGCCCTGACCCCATGCCGCACACGTGCTTCCCACCACTACTGCCCCCCACATCCCTGCCCGCCAGCACCTACCTGCTCGTGCCCCATGGACGGCGGCCTGGGCGGCGCTCCCCTGCTGGCCCCCGCGCCCTTGCTGAACGCCTGCCGTCGCGCGCGCTGCTGCTGCTGCTGGGCCTCGAGGTGCATGCGGTGCAGAGTGGCGAAGGTGGTTATGCTGCGGTACAGCAGCTGGTCCAGTGGCACGGTCTGGTGAGCACAGAGGGGAGGGGAGGGGAAAGAAGGGCTTCAGTGTGTGGCGGACGCGAGATAGGAGCGAAGCGACAAAGGAAAAGGGGTGTTGGGCGAGAGACGATGGCGCAGAGGGGACAGAGGGGAGGGAAGGGGACCTTGGAAGCGGCGAGGGCGGTGCGCAGGGTGCAGGCGCGGAGGGCGCGGTGGAGCGCGAAGAGCAGCAGGTGGGTGGCGTACAGCGCGCTGTCCGCCTCCCCCGCCAGCTGCGGGTGCCGCCGCTCGAACGCGCGCTTCAGCGATGACGGCTTCCTGTTGAGCATGCTGTTGGCACGGGGTGACACGCGGGTGACACGCGGGTGACACGTGGGTGACACGCGGGTGACACGTGGGTGACACGTGGGTGAGGAGTTAGTGGTATGTGAGTGACACACAAACTCGGACGCACGCCTGCACCATCGAACGGTCACGGAGCATCCTTACCCCTCCTCTTCCGAAGAGGAGAGTTGGTCTCGCCAGCCGCCAATTTCGCATGCGTGTCGCACTCGGCTCACGTACTCACTCCGAGTCGTAGCACGCATGCGAAATGACATGCACATTGCACGTATGAAATACTCACCTTCACAACTGCGACCGTTTGAAATGTGCTCACGTCGCACGTGAAACCATTTCGTCGTACTGTCGAGCATGCGACCGCTTCAATTTTCTCACGTCCCACATGTGACCATAATTTTCTCGTCCCATGGCAGTTTCATTGTACGTACGTCGCACGTGCGACAGTCTCGGCTTTTTTTTTTTTTTTTGGCAACACTGGCATTTTCACTCACGTCGCGCACGCCTGCACGATGGCGCGCAGCTCCTCGAGCGCCGCCGACGCATGCCTCTCCTTCATCGTCTTGCTCTCACTGCCGCTGCTGCTCGTGCTCATGCTGCCGCCCTGGTGTTGCAACCCCGCCATGGCCATAACTGAAACGTCGAAACGACAACGCTGCCACAATAAAACGTTTTTCTAGTTCCTAAGCTGATAGAGCACATGGACTTGGAATATCACGAAAACGGTCACTGAAACAACGAAAGACACAAGCTTTGAACAAAATAAAAGACACTTTGGGGGTGCTGAAGAACCACAGTGGCGTGCCCCTTATACTCGCAGCTTCGCGCCGCACAACTAAGGCCGTTGGTTTGCGGAAATTAGCGGAAAACATAACTGTTACAGGGGGTTTTACTGTTCACTTTGCACAGTAACTCCCAACCCCATCCTTATCCTTTTATCTTCTTGGATTTTCTAGTGCCACGTGGCACTCTACTTTTCTTGCTTCTACTTTCTAGTCCTACGAAGTACTTTCCGACATTCGAACTTTCATGCTATATCATCCTTGCTTGTATCCACCAATATCAATCAATTCTCATTCAAAACTTCAATTACTCAGTAACTTATTCGCCTCTTTCGCCAATAGTTCTTTCGCCAAAGTCTTCCGCCGCGTTTTCATCCTCGACTAAGTCGACCCCGCTATTCTTTAGCGGATTTAGGCCAAGGGGCCTAACACTTGGTATCGGGAGCCTTCGTGGGGAGCGACTTCCAACGAGCGACCGTCAACGACGAGACTACGACGTCATCGTCCCACGGTGCCGACTTGCAAACCTGGAGTCGTCGAGCTAACATGGACGAGACCATGAACGCTCTCCCCAACGACATGGCCAACACGCTTGCTCAACGCATGCGCCAACTCGAACAGTTGACGTTGGAAAATCGTCAGGTACGGGCTGAAATGCAACAGCTTCGTGAATTCGCGTCAATTTCTCATGGTCATGCCGCACCATCTCCTGCACCCAACACGTCGACTGGCGCGGAAGCGCTGCCGGAACGTCGAAGCGCGCTCAAGCCGCAGAAGCCCAAGCCGTTCGACCCAAGCCAACGCGACGCGATCGTGCAGACGTGGATCATGCTCAACAACTACTTCGCCACGAGCGGTGTGCAAGAGGCGGACGCGCAGCAGCGGATCGAGTACTCCGTTACACTACTTAGGGGCCCGGCCGTGGAGTGCTGACGCCAACTCACGCAAACTGCTGTAAGAAGGGCTGAGACAGACGGGCATCAATAGGGCGTGGGGGATGCACCTGCAACTTTGAGCTTAGGGAGTTTAGCTTTGGGTGTTACCACGGTTCCAACCACATGGGAAGGATTTGAAGCGGCGCTGAAAAGTAGGTTCGACATGGTTAACGCCTTCGAAGCTGCTAGGAAGCGTCTGCGTCATTTCCGAAAGATAGGAAACGTCCAGGTGTACACACGACGGTTTTTTAGCATCTGCAACGAGATAGACAATATCAAGGAAGCAGAGATGAGCGATTGCTACCTCGAGAGGTTGAAGCCGGACATAGCGGAAGTTATAGCGATTCATGGGTTGTCCACCTTCGAGTCAGTTGTCGCAGCAGCAGAACGTGTCGACGTAGCACGAAGTCGACAAGGTCGTGATAATCGCGATAGGGGATACAACAGAGTGATCAACGACGCTCGATCGAGGGACGGACCGTCGCCCATGGAGATCGGTGCAGTTAACAGTGACGGCCCGCAACAAACGGGTTTTAGGGGGAACTGTCACTACTGCAAAAAGCCGGGACACATGAAGCGGGACTGCCTAGAGTCCAAGAAGCAGCAGCAGAGAAACGGAATTCGCGAGTAGATAGCGGGTCGCTAGCTGGTGTGGAGGTTCCCGTACCCGCCACATCTACCAACGTAGAGGAGACTGCTTTGCAGCAGTCCTCTACGGAGACAATGTTGACCGACCAGTCGTGCTTCTAAAGAAGCTTCGCGGAGTTCCTATTAAGATACTCGTAAATACCGGAGCTAGTCGTTCATGTCTTCATCGTTAGTCAGCCGCCTCCATCCCGTAGCAGATTCCGCAGTCAACTTCAAGATGCACGCATGGTAAATGGGACGCCTTTCCACATAAGACCAGTCATCCGCAAGTTGCGCGCAATGCTAGGACCAATAACGGTAAGGCGTGACTCCGACTCTACGACGCTAGACGGTTATGACTTCATCTTCGACAGGGATTGGCTACAGACGGTTAGTACTCAGTTCAATTGGGCTTAGGGAAGCTGCAGTGTCAAGGTAGACGGGGAGTTCCGGGAGCTACCACAGTGGAGTGATGGGGCGACATCATCCACAGCTATCATCAATGCTGTTCATGCGCGGCAACTGGTGAAGCGTGCGGCACGGATCTTTGCGGTTTTCCTTAAGGAGGTGGAACCTAAGGAGGGGAAAAGAGGGAGTGCAGCAGTTGGTAAGAAGGCGACTCTTCCTGCTAAGGTGAGTGCACTGTTAGCAAAGTTCAGAGACGTCTTCCCTGACAAATTGCTGTGAAGAAATCAAGAATGAATGAAATAGCAAGCTGGTGAGTACAAGTAGGAAAACCTAGAAGTGTTGTACCCCATATTGTCTACCCCACTACAGCCTATACAGACTATAGCATATGACTTTGACACACCCCCATAGGCAAAGTGGAGGAGAACAAGAGGTCACAAGACCAGTCAAACAAAGCAAAGCAAGCTCAGGGTGGATCACAACGTCACCATACAATCCGAACACAAGAGCAAGGCTAAAAGGCCAGTTCACATGCAAGATCATATATAAAGATAAACAAGCAAGTGCAGGTATAGAAAGATCACAGTACAAGCAAGGTCAAGAAGTGAGCAAGTGAGGCCAGGTAGGCACAAGACTTAGCATCTTACAGAAACGCTGATGATCACCAGGCGGAAGTGCCTTGGTAAAGATATCAGCAGTGTTGGCCTCAGAGGCCACGTAAGCAAGGCGCAGCTGACCACCCTGCTGCAGCTCACGAGCAAGGAAGTAGCGAAGAGCAATGTGCTTCGTTCTGTGCTCCAGTCTGTGCTCCCGACAAAAGGCCAGCATGGCCTTGTTGTCTACGTACAGAACTGGAGAAGAGCGAGGCGTCTCTCCTAGGTCAGATAGCAGGTAGGTGAGCCAGCGTAGCTCCTTTGCAGCCATGGCCCCCGTGTAGATCTCAGCCTCACAGCTGGAGCCGAGAACAGAAGAAGAGCGAGTAGACCGCCACGAAACAGAGCCGGAACCAAGACTGAAGGTGTAACCCTGTGACGACCGCTGCGTAGCCTAGTCGTCAGCCCAAGAAGCGTCTGCGTAATCTGTGAGGACCATTCGACGTCGCCCTCCAAGCACTAGCCCCATGCCCGACGTACTGCACAAGTAGCGCAACACCCTCTTCGCTGCAGCCATGTGCTCTAGTCGGTGTATCCTAGGAGCAACATAGCGTGCCAAGATGCTAAGAGGGTATGCAAAGTCAGGTCGTGTGCAGGTCATCAGGTACATGAGGCAGCCAACAAGGTCTGGGTATGGGCCACTCGGCTCTACGGACTCATCCGAAGGCAGAGCTGAGAGCGAGTGACGAGAAGACAGAGGAGTGGCCTGAGGCGAGGAGTAAGTGAAGTCGAAGCGATGAAGGACTTGCTGCACCATATGTGCATGAGTTAGGGTAGTGGTGCGCTGTGCTCTGTCCCGGGTGATCTGCAAGCCAAGGTAGCTGCGCAGTTCACCCAGGTCTGTGCACGTGTGTCTCTTCTACAACTCGAACTTCACATGGGCGAGTCAAGCAGTGTCAGCAGTAGCAAAGACCAAGTCGTCGACGTACACGAGGATGTAGAACGGTAGCAAAGATGTGTCGGTGCGTAGAAACAGCGAAGGGTCAGTAGTAGAAGGAGCAAACCCAAGAGCCGCAAGTGTAGTCCTCAGTGTGTCGTGTCACTCACGGGGCGCCTAGCGGAGACCGTAGAGTGGCCGTCGGAGACTCCACTGGGTACTAGGAGGAAACGACCCAAAGAAGCCAAGAGGGCGGCGCAACCTGATCTCCTTGTGCAGGCTGCCCTGTAGGTAAGCAGTGCTGAAGTGAAGAGAGTGAAGCTCGTAGTCGCGCTGAGCGGCTATGTGCAGCAGCACCCTAAGAGTGGTCATCTTCGGGGTGGGAGAGAAGGTCTGAAATTACTCAACTCCCTGCCGCTCACTGAAGCCTCGAGCCACGTAACGCGTCTTGAAGACAGGCGGAGAACCTGGCGGCCGCTTCACCCTGAAAATCCACATGCCACTGACGATGTTCGCCCCAAATGGGGGAACCTCGTCAATGTAGGTGCCTGTGGACTTCCAAGAAGCCATCTCTGCGTCCATGGCTGACTGCCACTGAGAGGAGTAGGGACCCTCGATCACCTCAGTGTACGATCGAGGAGTCGGGATGTCTGGTGCATCCGGGTCTTCCTGAAGGGCAATCAGCGAGGACACGAGATGAGGCAAAGCAGTAGCAAAACACTAGAAATCCTCCTGCCTGTCCTCAAGGACGTCCGTACTAAGAGCACACCCACCCCGGACGGACGGATGACAGACAGACTCGGACTCAGCAACAAGACTAGTGGCGTAGTCTAGACGACAGTGAGCAAAGAAGGAGGAGAAGGAGCAGGTAGAGGGGAGGCGGGCTGTAACTGTGACTGCGACTAGACAGGCTGTGGACACTCTAAGGGAGGAGCAGGACCAGTAGAAGGCGGGAGACCAAGAACCTGCCAAGGAGCGGAACGAAGTACGGGCGCGGCCGCTCAGCGCCTCCACAACCAGCAGGGACAGCACAAGGACCCCCAGCGACAGCACCCGCGCCAGCAGTACCTCCAGCTCCAACAGCGCCAACTCCAGCACCCTCAGACGCACCAGCGCCAGCAGAACCACCAGCGCCAACACCCCCAGTAGCTCCAGCTCCAGCAGCACCAACTCCAGCAGGACCGGCAGCTCCAGTACCGCCAGCAGCTCCAGCAGGACCAACTCCAGAAGCCCCAGCAGCACCCCGAGGCCCAGTTGCTCCAGCACCGTTAGTACGAGCACCTCCGGGACTAGCAGGAACAGTAGTACCTCCAGCTACAGCAGCAGGGCTCCAGCGCCGGGCAAACCAC